CAGGACTCCCAGGTCCCTCTGGGCAGAGCTGCTTCCCAGCAGGTCAGCCCCCAGCCTGTACTGGTGCCTGGGGTTCAACCTCCCCAGGGGCAGCACTTGACCCTTGTTGAACTTCCTCAGGTTCCTCTTCGCCCAACTCTCCAGCCTGTCCAGGTCCCACCGAATGGCAGCGCAGCCTTCCAGCATATCAGCCACTCCTCCCAGTTTGGTGTCATCAGCGAACTTGCTGAGGGTACACTCTGTCCCCTCGTCCAGGTCATTAATGAATAAATTGAACAAGACTGGGCCAAGTACTGAGCCCTGGGGAACTCCACCAGCTACCGGCCTCCAACTGGACTCTGCCCCACCGATCAGAACCCTCTGAGCCCTGTCCTCAGCCAGTTCCCAATCTACCTCACTGTCCACTCATCCCACCTCCATTTCTTGAGCTTCCCTATGAGGCAGAGAGTATCAAAAGCCTTGCTGACGTCAAGGTAGACAACATCCACTGCTCTCCCCTCGTCTACCCAGCCGGTCATGCCATCGTAGGCGGCCATCAGATTGGTTAGACATGATTTCCCCTTGGTACAGGGGGTGGCAACTCAGCCCGTGGGCTGCTGAAGGTGCCGTATGAATCACGGCCGGCCAAAACTTTGTCACACTGCGCTGGCACCAATCCTGGCCTGGGTGGGCGAGCGTGCCCAGCACGCACCGGCGCTGGCTGGGCTTTGCTGCACGGTCTGGCCACAGGGATGAGCATGGAGGGGTCGGCTCCATCGCCCAGCACCAGTGCATGGTGAGGGGGGGTCCCTGGGGTGTTTTGCACCCAGAATGGTCCCCAGCACCCTGGATGCAGCCCGCTCCCGGTGGCGCCTGGGTGCGTGCCTCATTCCGCAGCCTCGCGGTGGTCAGTGGCTCGCTGGGCACCAGAGGAACCGAAAGCTGCCGGGAGGGGTATTATTAGCCTTTCTGGAAGTGTTTGCTCAGCGTTTTGTCATGTGCCTGTGTCAGCGCCAAACCAGCTGGGCGGCCGCGGGAAGCTCTCGGCACGCCACCGCCGAGCCCCCCGCCACCTCCCCCCCCCCCT